TTTATTCATCTGTCACTTTATCTGTTTATTTCTGTTTCTGTTATTATTATTGTATTTTCATTATCATCAGTATCACCAGTACTACTATTGCTATTACTTCTATCATTATTGTTAATCAATTTTGCTATCTTAGTTAGAGGGGAATGAGAGAGGGATGGGTAAAGTGGGTGGGTGAGGGGGGGTGGGTGTCACGCGATTAGGACAAAGGTAGTATGCTTCTATGTCATGATTATTTATAAATTTACTTGCTTATTTATATATTCATTTTAATCAAGAACATGATATACTGGTCATTATTGCAGTGGTAATATATGTTTTTTTTCCTTAGTGATGGTTCTGTGTCAGGAGTGAAAATACTGCATTAGCTGGATAATCACATGTGAGATACTATCTTGCCCACAATATCACATAATAACAGTATAAACTACATTTCCATTTACATAAAACCTGAGTAACTTCATGCGGTACCTAAATTTAGGCTAAATTTGCCATAAGCTCCATCGCAATGCAGGTATTGAAGAACAAAATGGCTAATTCTTTAAATAACTATTAGCAAATGGTTATAAACAAATTTCATAGGTCACAGTCCATAGTACTAAGCCTTTTCCACCGAGATAACAAAAACAAAAGAGCATCAGAATTCGATTATAACTGAAGAAAGGGATTATTCTAACCCTATGTCTGTTTAAAAACGAAGATCACGGTCTCGTGAGTTCGCTGAAGGTCACAGTGCGTGCCGTTCGTGTTTCTGCCAAAGATCTATATTGATTTAGGTTTCTGCGTCGATAACTCTTTTTTTTCTTATTATTTGTAGTGTTCTGAATTTCCTTTTTTTTCTGACCTTCTACAATATGCAATACAATGTGTTTTGGTTTCTGTGTCGATAACTGTCTTTTTCTTTCTTTCTTTCTTAATATTTGTAGTGTTCTGAATTACCTTTTTTTTATTTCTGGCCTTCTACATCTACAATAATTTTAGGTTTCTGTGTCGATAACTTTTCTTTTCTTTTCTTTTTACTTGTTGTGTTTCTTCTGTATTTCATTTCTTTTTTTTCTGGCCTTCTATATCTCCGTTGACTTCAATTTTCTTTTTTTTTCTCGATAACTGTTTTGTTTTTGTATTTCATTTCTGGCCTTCCATAAAAAAAACATTGATTTTAGGTTACTGCGTCCGTAATTCTATTTTTTTTTTCTGTTTTAATTATTGTTTGTAGTCTTCTGTATCCCCTTTCATGTCTAGCCTGCCTTATCTTCCTTAACTTCCTTATTCCTTATCTTCCTTATTTTGTTTTCTTATGGGTTTATCGTCCTGTATTGCTTTTTTTTCATGTACGGCCTTCCTTATATCAACATTGATTTTAAGTCTTTGCGTCGATGACTCTTTTTTCATTCCTTGTGGTTTTCTGTAGTATATATATTTTTTTATTTCTTATTTCCGGTTTTCCATATGTAAATTTTTTTGGACCGATAATTGTTTTTTTTTTTTTTTTTCTCTGTCGCTTTTGTTTCTAATTTCTGCCTTTCCTTCTTTTTTTGTTGAGCGGGGGAGGGGGGGAGGGGGGGGTTATATGCTATAGCTGAATTGCCCTTTGTTTAAAGTTCAAGATAGACTTTGGTTGACTAGTTATGTTAAGCTTCTTTGATATTATCGTACATCTAGAGAATAGTAGGTTGTATTTGAGTGTGGAGGAACATTAACATGAGGGAAAGCTAATGTGATACGTGGGCAGAATTTAGAATGTAAATTACGGTAGGTTGGTCAATAGAAAACGGCAGATGGGTAGTATTAGATACCTGTCAGGTAATGGTAAAGGGTGTGAACGATCATTTATGTTACTATTATCATTTATATCATTATCTATATTATCATCATCACTATCATTATCATTATCATCATCATCATCATCATTCTTCTCCGAGGCAAGTACGCTACATTGCAGTAGGTAGGCAGTTTATGCACATTGATTATTTACACGACAGCCTGAGGGGGAAGGCTAAGGCGGAAGGTAGGAGGGAAGGGAAAAGGAAGGAGAAGGAAGGTAGGAGGGAAGGGAAAAGGAAGGAGAAGGAAGGTAGGAGGGAAGGGAAAGGAAGGAGATGGAAGGTGGGAGGGAAAGGGAAAAGGAAGGAGAAGGAAGGTAGGAGGGAAGGGAAAAGGAAGGAGAAGGAAGGTAGGAGGGAAGGGAAAAGGAAGGAGAAGGAAGGTGGGAGGAAAGGGAAAAGGAAGGAGAAGGAAGGTAGGAGGGAAGGGAAAAGGAAGGAGAAGGAAGGTAGGAGGGAAGGGAAAAGGAAGGAGATGGAAGGTGGGAGGAAAGGGAAAAGGAAGGAGAAGGAAGGTAGGAGGGAAGGGAAAAGGAAGGAGAAGGAAGGTAGGAGGGAAGGGAAAAGGAAGGAGAAGGAAGGTGGGAGGGAAGGGAAAAGGAAGGAGAAGGAAGGTGGGAGGAAAGGGAAAAGGAAGGAGAAGGAAGGTAGGAGGGAAGGAAAAAGGAAGGAGATGGAAGGTGGGAGGAAAGGGAAAAGGAAGGAGAAGGAAGGTAGGAGGGAAGGGAAAAGGAAGGAGAAGGAGGGTAGGAGGGAAGGGAAAAGGAAGGAGAAGGAAGGTGGGAGGAAAGGGAAAAGGAAGGAGATGGAAGGTGGGAGGGAAGGGAAAAGGAAGGAGAAGGAAGGAAAGAGGGAAGGGAAAAGGGAGAAGGAAGGTAGGAGGGAAAAAGAGAAGGGAAGGGACTGAAAGGGAAAAGGGGATGGGTAAGGGGGAAATCAAGAGGAAAGGAGAGGAGGCGAAGAGATAAAAAAAAAGGGAGGTGCGAAAATGGGAAGGGAAAGGAGGGTATAAGGAAGCGAAGGAAAGGGGGGGGGGATGGGGAAGTGGGAGGGGCCAGACGTAATGCTTAAAGGAGTGAATTTAAGGAAGATCTATGAGTGAAAGGAGGTGGCAGAGCGAGAAAGGGAAAGGGGGAAGGAAGGTGAATGGGAGAAGGAAGAGGGTGAAGTAATAATGATAGTAATAAGAGTAATAGTAACAACAATAGTAGTAATATTACTGTTTATGGTAATGCTAATGCTTATGATAATGATAATAGTAATGGTAATGATAATGATAAGGATACTGATAATGATAATGATAATGATTATGATAAAAATAATAATAAGGATTAATAACAATGATAATAGCAACAATGATATAGTAATAACAATTATAATAATAATAACAACAACAACAACAACAACAACAATAATAATAATGATGATAATAATAATAGTAATAATAATAATAATAATAGTAATAATAATAATAATAATAATAATAATAGTAATAATAATAATAATAATAATAATAATAATAATAATAATAATAATAATGATAATAATAATAATAATAATGATGATAATGATAATAATAATGATAATATTAATAATAAAGATATTAATAATAACAATAATAATAATAATATTGATAACAATAATAATAATAATATAGATAATAATAATATAGATAATAATAATAATAATAATATAGATAATAACAACAACAACAACAACAACAATAATAAACAATCAACGATCAATCCTCCTCCCGCCGCCGCGTGCAATAACTCTCTCCCTCTCTCTCTCTCTCTCCCCCCCCACACACACACACCTGCAGGTTGCATGCACGAACTGGAAGCGCATGATGATGATTCTCTCCGGAAGAACGAACAAGACCGACCCGCTCGCCATCCGCTCCTACGTCCCTCACGTCGAAGGGGTTCTGCCCAGACTCTCCTCCTCGCGAATGACGGTCAGTGGATAGGGGGGAAAGGGGATAAGGGGTTAGGAGTTAGGGATTAGGGGATAGGGGGTTAGGGGATAGGGGGATAAGAGGATAAGGGTAAGGGAATAAGGGGTTAGAGGGTAAGGGGATAGGGGATAGGGGATAGGGGATAAGGGGATAAGGGATAGAGGATAGGGTGTAAGGGGATAAGGGGATAGGGGATAAGGGATAGGAGATAGGGGATAAGGGATAGGGATAAGGGGATAAGGGATAAGGGGACAGGGAGTAAGGGGTTAGGGGATAAGGGGATAGGGGGATAAGGGGTTAGGGGTTAGGGGATAAGATGATAAGGGATAAGGGGTTAGGGGTTAGGGATAAGGGGATAGGGGGATAAGGGAATAAGGGGATAAGGGGATAGGTAGAGAGGGAGGTCGAGGTTCTGTTTGCATTCAAGGTTAAAGGATGAGAGGGATAGATGACATGTGGATAGAGAGGGAGGTGGAGGCTCTGTTTGCATTCAAGATCAGAGGTTGAAAAGGATAGTGATAAGTAGATAGATGAGGAACTTTCATGAGCTTTTGTGTCACGGTCACAGAGTTAAAAAGATACATGATAACTGGTAAAAAGAGAGGGACAGTTATTTTTATTATTTTCTTTTTTACTTGGTAAAAGATGTTTTAGAAAGTAGTCCTGTTGCGTCGGCATTCAGTAAATCAGAAGTGACAAGGCTTCTTTTTTTCTCTTTTGAATTAATACAGGTACAGGAAATTATAAGGGAATAAAGAATATACATGCAAACTTCTTCCGTAAAGCCGAGATTCAAATGCATTGTTCTCTCCTACTCAGTTTTAAAAGGGATTAGATTTATGAAATGAGATGCTGGTATTGTGTGGTTTAAGCTAATCTGTTAATAACTGTTTTAGATTGCTCGTTATGTAAATAAAAATAACTAAAGATTTACAGTGGCATTTGTGTGCGTGAAGAAGATAAGAGGTAGTGGTATGTTATTCCTTTAATCATTCGTATATATACGCATTAATTCCTTCAGTCTCCTTGGCTACTCGCCATTTCATTTATATCACGATAAAAGTAGTTCTGTTTTCTTTGTTTACTATCGAAGTAGCTACTACCTTAATTAGATCCTTCTATAAATCCCTTACACTGGTTTCCGATCCGACTTTCAGAGCTCGCTGCTCCATCACAAACTCCGAACGTACACCAAGTTCCTGTTCGTGCGGCACCCCGTGGAGCGCCTCGTCTCCGCCTACCGGAACAAGCTGGTCATCAACTCCACGTCGGCGGCAGACTTCAAGCGCAGGTACGGCGTCAAGATCCTGAAGAAGTTCCGCAAGGGCGACGCCGTGCAGAACATCTCGAAGACGGGCCACGGCGTCACCTTCGCCGAGTTCGTGTCGTACCTGATCGAGAAGCGCCACGACAGCCCGCAGAGCATGAACGAGCACTGGGCGCCCTACGTGGAGCTGTGCCACCCGTGCTTCATCAAGTACAACATCATCGGCAAGTACGAGACGCTGGAGGAGGACGCCGAGTACGTGTTGAGGAAGATCGGGGCGCCGCCCAAGCTGCACTTCCCGCCGCTGGTCACGTCGAAGACAACCGCGCTCGTCGAGTCCCACATGAACACGCTCACGCCCGCGCTCAGGAAGAAGCTCTACGACGCCTACCGGCTCGACTTTAAGCTCTTCGGGTACGACTATGTGAGGGAGAAAGATTATGTGACTCAAGAAAATGGCAGTTAGTGCTTGAATTTGAAACTGTTTTTTCAAAAGTAAACTTGTATTCACGGATGAGAGGCAGTGCGTTGCAAAAGCTGATTTTAGTTCTTTGTACAGCTATACACACACACAGATGATTTTCCAGGATATCGCAGCGCCGTTTTGCCAATAGATGATAGAGATCGGAATTTAGTTCCTCTGCTACTTTATAGTTTTCACGAATAACGTCAGCATCTCTCCTTCACCCTATTCGTTAATGATATTTAATGCCCAAACTCAAGCCTACGTGTGCTAACCCCTTATCGAAAATCTGACATTAGTTACGAGACAAGGCATGGAAATTATTAAGAAATTAATTCAGGTGATGTTTGAAATCGAGGTAATGGCTGATATCTTCCATTTCGTCAGAAAATTGCCATTACTACTTCCTGGTGTTGAAAGAGGACTATTCATTTGGTACAGTATTCACCATTTGACGAAAGATAAAGTTTATTGTTGATTTTAGAGCAACAATTCTGCAAGATGTCACAACCTTAAAAATCGCAAGTGCAACGGAAGTCTGAATTTCCTACACACTACTTATCATCCGCTGAAGGCATTAACCAGTTTTACATCTGTGCAGAAATCTAAACTGTACGTTTAGTTCCTATTAGGAATATTATGTTCATTTACAACATAACTGGAAGCAGATAATGGTGTCCCAAGTACGGTAGTCGGACCAAACCCTACGTGAAGTCAAAAATATTTTTTGGAAGATAAATAATACGATATTTTCATGGCAAGGAAAGTGCCACGAGATACAAACATTGAAGAAAAAAAATTCATGCACAGGTTAATACGTCCAGCAAACTTGAAAATCTATTTTCATGCAACTGTGTCAACTATTCTTGGAGATGCTGAAGTTATTCTTTTTCTATGACATTGTTTTCTAAATCCTCATTTGGCAACGATTTCCACGGAGGTTTAGAGAAAAGACGGCGTATACTGCATTTGACATCAGCCTTTTCCGCTGCCAGGTACCATTCTATCGAAATTGAAAGGGAATGAAAAAGGGCAAGAAACTCGAAACCTTAACGACACGCGGTACAAAAGACATATACGGGTGCAGAATATTCACACACGTGGAGTTCTGGTTTGTTATCTCTTTCATATAAAAGCAATAATTGACGATGGAAGTGCGTTAAGTGTTACCGCTGCCAGAGACTTCTTGTGTGTGATTTACTATAATGTGTTTATTTTCTTGTGACGATCCGCGGACGAAAGCCCAAGAAGAGACGTTTTGGAGACAGGATTATATGTTGGTTCCATTCCAGACAGGCTTCCTTGGAATGAATCTTCTTCGTTTAGGTCTATGCCTTATTCTGTAAAGTGAAAAATGATATCGTAAGTGAAACGGCAGAAAAAATCATAAAAGAACGGAAATTGTGCATTGTACTCTTGTTTGCCATTGTAAACAAAATCCAGAAATCGTAATTACAGGTTCATATCTTACTCAAATGCCAAGTAATTACGCCAATTGGTCGTTAGATCAGTTCCCTAAGCAGACGATCCATCCAGGATCATCTGTTAGAGTCAGTAGTAGTAATTGCAAAATTCCGACAGAATAAAAGCCTGTTTTACTCTTAGTACATCCGGATGCGTGGACCCAGTTCGCACATTTACCTCTTCACCTAGTTACCAACCTCATTCATTTTCATCACATGTTTATAAAGAAAATAATATTTTTCATTAATCGAATGTTCACGATATAACGAACGAAGGCAGGGTTGTGTGCAGTCGATGTAATCTGTGATAATTGCGTGACTTAATGAGGTGGCGAAAGTTCTATAAATTTCTTGTAAAAATATTCATGTGGGAAAAAATACACTCGGTGTTGTATCTTTGTAACAATGTCCCTTCTCAACCTATGACAATACAGTAAGAATTGTATACAGATGACAGATACTAAGAAGATACTGTCTCACTCCTCGCCAAAAAAGCGAGAGAGAAAACGGCATGACTTGAACTTAAAGTGATGAATGTCAACATCATGAACATTATAAGCTTATGAACAACTGTTATACTAATATCTCTTACACGCTATTTTAGATTGTTTTCTCCATGCAGCGATTTGGTTGAGATTCCAGTAATACCGCAGCCGATACCCCAAACTGAAAGGAATTTAAATAGAGGCTAACGAATGCTCTACCAACTTGTGGCTACAGCGATACTTCTAACTAATAGTTAGTTTCAGCTGCCTCAGAGCAACAGGCCCAGCTCCTTTATGCGAAGGTTTAGTGCAGTTGTTTGGGAGTAGCTGCGGATACTCTCTGGGTGTTCATGTTATTTGCGCGTTCCAGAGCGCCATCTGATGTTGTATGCGAGTGCGAGCTGTCTATGGTTTTCCCATTTTCCTTGATTTTTCCTATTAGAAAACTGGTATTATTCTGATGTGTAAGGCCGCCAGCTGATGTAATTCATAGTCGCACATGCATGGGAAACGTATCCTAAACAGCGTCCAGTCTCAGAGAAGAGAACAACTGGCAACTGAACACGAACTGCGAAGTACTCCGATTCACCAAGTCTCTTTGGAGAAAGAAGGATCAAGTGGCGTAAAGCAATAAAGATACAACATGAGTTTTCAGAATACCAAATAAGTGTAAACAAAAGAATGAAGTATCAGTTGACTGTAATTAGAAACGAGAGTTAAACAGCAGACATGGCAAATCGTAATACTCGAGAGAACAGGGTGAGGTGCCAGTTCTTTTTTTTTCTCGAGCCTGGATGCAGTTACATAGGATTTAAACCAAGAATCACCTGATTGCCAGTGAACATAGTGACGTAATCCCCGGCGAATGTGGGAGCATCAGGTGATAATGCTTACGAGTGCCAGCTACTGAGGTTTAAGAACGCTGAAGCTGAAGTTTCATAAGAACACCAGCACATTAAAAAGTAAAAGCTGTTTGAGTAAAGATAGAAAAAAAATGTATTATTAAAGATATATAGCTGTTGATCAAGGCAGTCTTCGGGAGTCTGAAATTCCTTCGACAAAAATAGTATGTAAAAAGTCCTACAGACACTTCATTCCACACAAAGTTCCGTTTGCATCAACATTTGCATTTGCATCACACGCTCCCGAATCTGCCCTTGTAACCCGCAGCTCTAGTTGATCTTCCATAATTATAGATTCAGATGATCTTTCAGCCGTATTTCCAGATATTAAGCCCAATAGTTCCAAACGAAGGTCCTATGATAATAAATAGTTCCAGGTAAGGTTCCCTGAACACTAGATCCAGGTCATGTACTTAAGCTATAGTTCCAGATAATTTTTTAAGTACGTAATTCCAGATGTTCTATAAGCCATAGTGTCAGATGATTATTTTTAAGCAGTAGTTTCAGATAATCTTTAAATAGTTCCAATTTACGACTGTTAAGCCATAGTGTAAGACGTCGACAGTCTATAAGCGATATTACCATGCAAGAGCTCATAAGCAATAGCACCATACAATGGTTCATAAACAATAGATCCATCTTATCTTCCGCAGGCAATAGTTAAACCTAGTGGCCCATGTTTTAACAGCTCTTTTAAGTGAGGGCTTTCTCAGTGGGATGATCCCCACTGACAGTTCGCCCTGCTGTCGCCTCCATAGTGATAGTGACAGGCTGAGTGGGAAGGAAGAGGAAGAGGTGGCAGATCCTTGTACGTGTTGAGTCAGATCTTCAGATGGCCTCTCCAAGACTGTCGACTAAGAAGACATTGTGAGCTTAATCATTCAGTTCAAGAGGTAATGGGTGCCTTATCTCTTGACTAAGGCAATGCATACACGTTTATAGAGAGAGCACACACACACACACAAACACACACACACACACACACAAACACACACACACACACACAAACACACACACACACACACACACACACACACACACACACACACACACACACACACACACACACACACACACACACACACACACACACACTCACACAAACACACACGCACAAATACACACACACACACACACACACACACACACACACACACACACACACACACACACACACACACACACACACACACACACACACACGCACAAAGAAAATAATGTATGCAAAACGGATAATTAATTGTTGGCTCCAACTCGAAAATTGTTCCTGACGGAGGCATGATGCTTAGTGCCCGCTGTGAACGAAACCCTACAGGCTACAGAGGAGCAAAAGTAACAGTCTGTAGGTAACCTCACCATCAACCAGGTAATCTGCCAGGTAAGGAGTCGGGGATCCACCCTTTCTGAGCCCCAGGTGAAGACATATCGCATGGGAGACAGGTTGCAAAACATCGTAAATGTGACTGCTACACTGCACTTCATCGAGAACCATCTGTGATAATAATGTGTGCTCATCCTACAACTCAATGATAAATGATGTATGATAGAGGAAATTGTTATACAGTGTCTTAGGTTTCACAATAGTAACGTGAAGCCCCTTCGGTGTTTTAACCACAATCAGCATTAATTAACCCTGCGCAGTG